AGTATGCACAAGTGACCGCTCTCTGCCTGCTTCCTCATTTGTAAAAGGAAGCTATTAACAGCTGTTTCATATAGTTACTGTGAAAACTGAATTTTAAAAACCAAATCATCTAGCTTAGTACCTAGCATGTAGTAAACAGTCAATAAATTGTTGATATTATTGCAAAAGCTGTGAGCAGAAAGTCCAGACAGAGGAGCTAAAGAGTCAGATAAACACATCTTACTCGAGAGGACTCATACCCAACGCGCAGAAAGTCCAGACAGATAAACACATCTTACAAGAGTAGAGATGGACTCATAACCAATGCCAGAAACATATGCCAGAACACATCCCATTTAAGACAAATGTATACAAAGACAAGTCTTGACAAAGCACTTTGAGGGCACGGAAAGAGTAAGGAGTTTGGTCACACATGAAACTGAGTCTCACAAGAAAGCAGCAAAGTTTACTATATAAAAAAGGGAGAAAGCACAAGTATAGGCAACAATTATAAAAAGAAATGCAAGATAAGAGATGTGCTGCTGGAAGTGGGCTACAAGTTGGTAACAGCTGGGTTGCCTACTGCCATACCACCCTGAACACATCTGATCTTGTCTGATAATGGCTGGGTAGGCCAGATGGGAAAGGACTATGGTCCTTTGTTCCAAGTTTATACTTCCATTTTTTGGCCATCAGGGAAATGGAAGAAAAAATGTAATATGCTAATTTGATACTAATCTTTCTAAAAAAGACAAAGTATTTTTATAACTTTAAATTACTGCATCGGCCCATGACCTGTTCACCTAAAATAGAAAATGTTATGAGTCTCAATTCTTGAAACCACGTGAGTAATTTGTTATTAACAATGACTGACCTGGAACCTGTTCTTAAAACCATGTTTCATTTCCACAATGGCCATTGTCCTTCTAGCTATCATCATGAAAATAGCAGGTAAAATCTACTGAGAGCTTATCTATGCCATGTCCTACTTTACATGGATTATCTCATGTAATTTTCACAACGTTCTTATAAGAGGTATTATCCCCATTTGACAGACCAGAAAACTGATGCAAAGTGAGGTTTCAGGAACAAGGCTAGTTAAGTGATAGAACCAGGATTCAAAACTAGGCTGACTTCAAAGCTGTAAATCAATCTGCTGAACTACAATACTGCTCAGTTCATTGACATCATGTGCTCAAAAACTGTGCAAGCCTCCTATAATTTAAACCAGTGATTCTTAAAATTTATTGTACAGAAGGGTAACTTTGGTAACTTGCTAAAACAGATCCCAAGACTCCACCAGATTTTGGTTCAGCAAGTCTAGAGTGGAATTCAAGGATCTGCATTTTTAATCATAAGTGAAATCAATTCTGCTTCATTTGGCCTATGATGTGCTGATAGACCTTATGCTGGATGTCCTAGAGATTCAAGGATATTGCACCTCCTGACCTCTAGATGCTTTGGATTTAAAGGGGGTAAAACAAAGTGTACAAAACATACATACAAGAAAGACTTCACAGAGGGAGGGACCATTGGATCTGAAATGAGAGGAACAGGATTTTACAGCAAAACCGATCCCCACTCACCCACCCTCCACAGGCTAAGTAAGCCTCTACCACCGAGCTATCTCCCCAGCCCTAGGGAACATTTTGTAACACACAAGCGAAGATAGGATGACCAAAGACCTTAGTGAAAGATCTGCTTTGGGGAATGGAATGATATCAGAAAAATCTGAGAAAGTCTGGAGAGCCTGAATGCTCATTTAAATAAACAGTACACGTTTTATTTAGTGTTGACAATGGGAAGTAGCTAGTGCTTTTTGAGAAAAATGAAATAATTACAGCCATATTCTCTGGAACAGTACTCTCAAGAAGCTCTGCAAGATCTAATGAAACTAGGATACAAACAATAGGAATAGTTGTACTATTACTGTCCTGATCCAGAACTCAAAAACAAGGCAGTTTGAAAAGGGAACAGTCAATCTTAATGACTACACTTGCAGGGCAAAGGAAACAACCATAGGTCAGTAATTTCTTCACTCATGAAACCCAAATTGATCATTATCAGTTTCATATTACCTTTTAGTTCTCATATCGCTGAGTAGGCCCAAAATACATAAAGAGCCCACTTATTCAGAGTGCAGTCCAGGACTAAGAGTAAACAGCTACACAGTTTGAACACTAAGGAAAAAAAGTGTGTGTGTGTGTATACACATGAAACACTAAATTCAGAACAATATAATTTCACTTACGCCAAATTCTAATAAATACATAAGTACCTGATTTCCAAACCCACAGCAGTATGGAAGCAAAAATTACAAAGGGAAGAGTGTCTACTATAAGCCCTGAGACCTACAGTAGGGGAAAAAATGCAAATATAAAAAAGCACACATAATCACTCAAAGTTCTCCATAATTGTTTATTGACAGGTGCACATGATTCCCAGAAAAATGAAATTAATGAGAATTTTTCTTACTGTTCCAAACATTTACAATAAAATAAAATAATCTTAAACATTCCTTAAAGCTAAATACTTCAAAAACAACGTTTACCAGATTAAAAGAGAGAATCTGTAAAGGATGGCTGACCCATGCCAGGATCAGGCCTCACAACCAAGACAGAGCAAGCAAATAGTCAAAGGCAAGAAAGATGTATTTTACAACAAGGTTTTCATAAGGTATCCAATCAAGAATGTGTCGCCACTAATGAAGTTTTAAATTGGGTGATTCTTTCCTGATTACTGTGTCTTTGAATTCCACATCCCAAATAATATGAATTCACGCTCAACAAAAAATTAGCACCAATACCCTAGTCTCACACAGCCTATAAATTTACCTATTGAAATTCGGCAACATCATTTGGCACTCAATGTATTGCAAGAGGCTGTGTAACAACTTTTTAAAGCACATAGCAACACATTAAGGGCTCTTGCTTTGTTCAACACTCATTAATTTTTACTATGAATTGACACTAAGAATCTCAGCTATTTTAAAAACAGATGAAAAACATCATTTTCTTACTGGGAATTAAGAATTTAACTAATTTGGTTATATTTGTTATGATTACATTTAAAAATGTAAAAGCCATGAACTCTATACCTTTATACGTAGCAAAAAAGTATGCTGTCTTTGGGGATTGAAGCAGGAGGATTGCGAGTTCCAGACCAGCAGTCTGGGCAACTTGGGAATAAAATAAAAATAAAAAGGCTAGCGCTGTGGCTCAGTGGTTGAGCATTTGTCTAGCATGCTTAAGGCCCTACGTTTGATCTCTAATACCACAAAAGGTATGCCATATAATGATTATTGGAGCAAAACAGCTTAAGACGTATTTAAAGAGCAGAAAAGGAAATCAATGTATTTTACAACACTGGAAGAGTAAAATAAAATACTCAACTATGACAGAGAGATAAAGCAGCTAAATGAAACTAGGCCTCTCATATTTCTGACACAGCAAAGAACAGAAAAAGCACGATGCAAAAAATTTTGCAAATGATTGTGTAACAATGTATCTCTGATTAAGATTATGGTACATCAGAAAATATGAGTCAAATATGCTACGTGTTACAAACATTAACCAACTGAGGCAGGCAAGTGCACCTGCTGCCTTTTTCCTGCCCCAAACTCCCCTCTTCTTGGAATCATCTTTGTACAAGTTTACAATACAGGGACACTGACTAGTGAAATGTCTCAGAAAGAGCAGTTCTCAAACTTCAGGATGCGACCCATAAATCAATTTGGTGCATTTCGGTCAGCATTTTTCTAATGGAAGAGAATGGAATATAATAGAAATCGTCAGAACACATCACATTTAATAAGGGTAAGTTAAATACTATTTGTGGGTATGTACCAGACCATTCATTCATATGTGGGTATGCACTATTGTGAGGTATGACTTTTTTTAAAAAGAGAGGGACTCAATTTGAAAGACACTACCCTAGAAATCTAGGTCTAATAGCTCAAGATCCAAACGCTGCATGTTTTCCTCAATCTTCTGCACCTATGCAGACTCTGCTCAAGATGGACCAAGAAAACCAATGCTCGAGTTCCATGGCAGCATGAAAAGAACCTGGCCAAGCCTGGCCACCATCTGGCTGGCCCTGAAGGCACTGCTAGGTTCCCCAAACACACCCCAAGCAGGCAATGCTTACAAACTCTGTGTAACCTAGCAACTTCCAAAGTAAAGCTCTCCCTTCCTCCACTAACTGTAAACGGTCAACTCTTCCAACCAACTTTCCTCGGCTACAACTTCTGGAATCACATGCCCCCAAAGACATCTCCCGGCTGAGGCTCTAGAATCTCTACTCCTCACTCTCAACAGAGAAGCCCCATCCAGACCACCCCAAGATCCCAAAGATAGGGGGTTCTCCCCTGCCAGCGTCCATCTTCTCCCCCCGCCCTCGTCTCAGCGTATCCCAATAGGGGCAAATGTATTCTCCCAAAACCTCTTATCAAACCACCACATCGGAGTCTAGTCCATTAAGGGCCACTCTTTCCCCATCTCTGGGGACTTTTTTTTTTTTTTTTTTTAGTTTGGTGGTTCAGAGACAAGTTTCCTCTTTCCCCAGCAGTCCCAGACACCTCTCGGTCTCTACCAGTCAGAGGGCATCTCCCTACCCACCAGGCCGCGGGGTACAGTGAGAGAGGCACGGGTTCTCCCAGGGAGGCCCCTCCAACCGGGACCTGCCCCCCTCTCCCTCCCAGGGCCTCCCAGCTCCGCCCCAGCCCAGCCAGGCCCCAGCCTCGCTCCGGCCCGCGGCAGACCTCCCCTCCCGCCCAGAGTCCTCCCCAGGGTGCTCCCCTTGGCCCCAACCCAGAGCGCCCCGCGCCCTCCTCCCGGGGGGAGCGCCGCGGGCCCGGGACCGGAGAGCCGGCGGGCGGGCTCCACTCACCCCTCAGCCGGGGAGGCGGGGGGCTGCTGCGGCGGCTCCTCCGGCTGCGCCTCTCCTCCCACCTCCCGGCCACCGCCGCCGCCGCCACTCAGCCTCCGGCCTGCTCCCGCCCAACCCGGCCCGCTTCGCTTCACCTCGGCCCCCACTCCGGCCGCCGGAGCCCAGTGTCCTGCATTGACCCGGAAGCAGCTTTCCGGGCCCAACAACAACACGTGACCCTGCCGCACGTGTCACGTCCGCTGCGTGAAGGGGCGGGATCTCCGGAGGAGCGGGTCCTCCCCAACCAAGCTGTGGTTGCCATGGGGACGGAGAGGACAGTCAGTCCAGGGCTTCACCAGAAACACCGCTTACCTCCTATACTTCCTCTTGCACCCCTGGGTGCAAAAGAGGAACAGGGATTGTTGTTTCCGAATGAAGTGGAGGCAGGTCACAACAGTATCCTTAAAGAAAAAATCCTTGGACTGAACCTTTCCAGACACACTTGGAATCTTGGCCCAGCTCCCATTCATTTGCTGTGTGACCCTGATCTAGTCTCTTCCTGTGTCTGCCTTCAGTGTCTTATCTATAAAATAAGGCAAGCGTGCTAGGTGCGACCTGGGTATCATCTATAAGATCTCATGCTGCTTATAAATAGGCATGTGATGGCCTTTCTTCCAAGGCCTGTGGCCTATGAAACTCCACCGATAGCAGCAGCTTTCGTTTATTGAGCATCTTCTGGATACATTACACGTAGGAGATTTTTAATTTTTTCAGCCCTCTATAAGTCGGTATTCTTTTTTAGCAGAGCATAGTAGTCTATGAAACCCAGCACTTGGGAGGCTGAGGCAGGAGGAGCACTTGAGAGTTTAAGCCAGTTCTGGACTACATATTGATTTCAAGAAAGCCAGCCAAGTTGGTCTTTCGTAGAACTGAAACTGAAGTTCAGAAGTGTGAGCCTCTGTATTCAACATCTGTATTCAAGACGCTGCAGAGTAGCCTTGTTGCCCAGAGCATCATGGTTGTAGACAGATGGAAGTTGCAGAACGAGAGCCAAAGCAATCTTGGGTTATCTTTAGTCCTTTTTAATAATCATTCACTATCAACTTCCTATCTGACCAAGCATTTTTATGACTATTAGATAAACTCTTGGAATGTATTCTAAATTCTACGGACCTTTGGCCTTCATTTGCCCTAAAGCTAAGAATGTAATAACACCTCAACCGTACAACAGATTTCCCTACCTTGTTAGAGATAGCATCTAAAGCCTAGAAAGGGTCCTCTCTGCTTCTTTGTAGTCTACCTACAAATGTCCATCTCTTTGATGTCCCCACCTAGTTTCTTTTAGGACTTTTCCCCCATGGAAAACCATGACCCTTAGGGGAACCTCTTGATCCATGTTCCCACACCATTATCACTCATATTGGCTCAGAATAAGCTATTATTTGCTTAAAACAAAAGTGTTATTTGTATGTCTACAAAAGTTAAGTAATCTGCCCACAACCACCTGGTTAGAAAAATGACTGGGCTGAGGTTTGAATCCAGGTGAGGCAGGCACCAAAGAACATACACTTCACATTATGCTGTTTATTGCTCCAGCTCCGTATGCGCTATGTCTGACTGTTGGGTTCTTGTTGCTTATGTTCTTCTTTAAACATTCCTTCTGCAGGGTCCTTCCTGGCTAATCTTGAGGCAAATTCAGCCTTGTATGGATGTACCCCTGAAATGCTAGACACTGAAGAGGTCTTTGTGCAGAGTGTGTGTGTTTTTGTAGGCTGTGTGTCAGGGAAGAGGTGGGGGATGTGATGTGTGTGCAAGTGTGTATATTAGTTCTTAGAGAGGGAAGGATAAAATTCTGTAGGGGATGGCCAGTGACAGGTTTACCATCATCAGTTCCTAAGGACCTGTTTTTGTCACTTTATTTAATTTTGTTTTACCCCATAAGTGAAGATTAGAGCAGTGTGGCTTCTATTTCTCAGGTGAGGGCTTACCCCTCCTTCTATAGAAATAAAGTGGTTTTCTGACACCTTAAAAATTCATGACCTTGGGAGCACTCAGGTCAGTGACGTGACCACAGGCAAAACTAGCCTCAGTGGTGAGGACCTTAAACAGAGCAGAGGGAAATGTACAGAGAGGAAAAAGAACTGTGGGGGTGCTGCGTGATAATCTGTGGACAGACTTATTTGGGAGCTCAGGTGGAGATCTGAGTATATGGGGCAGTGTTGTCAAATAGAGCTCACCCTCAACTACTTGAGGCTGGATGCCTTGTGAGCTATAGGAAAAGTAAGAACTGTAAATCGCAACTATTAACGAACACTGTGTAACCTATATAAATACATTCGTGGGTAGTCCATGTAACTGGGTGTGATTGGTTGTATATTTGTGTCTTAGGAATATACATGTCACTTTTCTGTCTTTTGTTGTCTCCTGTAAGAAAGCAAACTCCTGAAGACAAGATAGATATCTTTACCCATTTCCTGTCAGTCTCTTCAAGACAAACCAGAATTTTTTTTCTAAAACTCATATCTGATGGTGTTACTTCCTTAAGTTTACCCTTCTGAGAGTCTTCATGGCTCCTGGCATGAAGTCCACAATTGTTAACATGTTTCTCCAGATTCCTTATGATAGATGTAGTGGATTGACAACTGGTGGTCAGCTGATAACCCCCCAGCTGAACTGAGTAAGCACGGTGCTGGGTTTGGGAGTCCCACCTGAGGGTTGTTGCCAGCAGCACAAGAGGCAGAACTGGAGAAGAAGAAGTGAGGCTGTTGGGAGCTGAGAAAAGGCTGTTGGGATCTTGTAGAAGCTATAAGGACCTGTTGGTTCTCTTGGAGGAGCTTGTCATGCTGGCTTTCCTGATGAACTTGGCTGTTCTCATCCTCCAAGGAGCTTGGGGCCTTGTTGGCACTGAAAATAGCTTTGGTTCACTTTGGGGGAGCTCTGGTCCTCACTTTGAGCATTGCTTCCTGGCTCTGGAGGGGAAGATGGTGCACTGCCAGTCTCCTGGAGAAGCTTGCTGCATTGGCTTTCCTGCTGGGAACTCAGCTTTCCTGATCCTCGAAGGAGCTCAGGACCTCACTGTTGCTGAGGATGGCTGTGGATGCCTCCCCCTTTTGGGGGAGCTCTGGTTCTTACTTTGCATGTTGCTTCCTGGCTCCAGTGCAGATCCCTTACCCTGCTAGCACAGATCCTTTATCCTATTGGCACAAACTTTCTAGATTCCACCACTGACCTATGGGCCTTCCCAGTGCAGATCTGTGAAACAGGCCTGCATGAGAAGTTGTTGTGTGCTCCAAGCCTCTGAGTGGGATTCATGGGAGGTATTCTTATGGGCTCTAGGTATTCAGCTGGACTCATCCAAGACATTATCAGGGGATCCAGACCCTCAGCTGGATTCCTGGTCTATAGTGTGTGTACTTGAAATGTGGCTAGCCCCATTTCCTGCACTTTTGTATATGATTCTTTGGGTGACTATTGTAAATAAACATATGAAATAGTTGTCCTGTATTATATTGTTCTCCCTTGCAAAATATCGCCAAACCAACACAATTGAGATCCTGCTGACTTTTCCAGCTTCATCTCTTGCCTCTTTCCTCCTGTTCTTCACTTTTCCTGTTGATCTGGTAGCCACTAGCCACATGTAGCAATTTAAATTTAAATGAATTGAGCCAAGCAGGCATGGTGGCACACACTTGTAATCCCAGCACTTGGAAGGCTGAGACAGGAGGATTACTTTGAGTTCAAGACCAGCCTGGGCTGTATAGTGAATTCAAGGCCAGCCTGAATTACAGAGCAAGACCTGTCTCAAAAATAAATAGATAAATAAATTTAAATGAAATTAAGTCATTAACTGTCACTTTCTCAGTCACATGACACTAGTCTTGCTTGTCAGTCACCATATGTGGCTAATGGCTATCATACTGGACAGTGGATGTATAGGGTATTCTCATCACAGAATGTTCTGTTGGACAGTTCTGATCTGTAATCTCAAATCTTCACATATGATATATTCTATGGGGATTCCTCCTGTTGAGCCATTTGAAACCTATCTTTTCCATGTCCTTGATATGGAAAACTATACATGATTGCTTATTTCCTTCTTTCTGACTAATGTAAAGGCAAATGCTAGGTTTCTGGTGTTCAGCATTAACTCCCCATTATTTCTAAAGGTCTGTTGTTAAAGGAAGTAAGAGAAAGTCACATGTACGGTCATTTTATGAGAAATTGTTGATAACTGATCATCTGACCTACAAGCAGCCATTTTACATAATTCAACCTAACAATAAGGAAGGACTTTGAACGAATCAGAGCTGCTTTATTTGGTTATAGTGAATTCCCTGTCACTAGAATAAGTTAACCGATTGCACAATGTTAGAACAATGCATAATTTCTGAATTAGTTGGATTAGTTGACTGATTCTAAAATTCTAAGTTCAACTACTTTTAATTCAGGATTCACTATGCCCTAACATTGATCATAGCCACTTTGTGAGATTTTACTGTGCCAGATGCTGCTTATAATACTTTACATTGATTATTTCCTTTAATCCCCACAATGATATCATAAAGTACATTTGGTATTACCAGACTTCCCAAGTGAGAGTTGGATTAAGTAATACACCCATTAACATATAGCTAGTAAGTGACAGAGGCCAAAGTCATATTTAGGTCAGTTTGACATGAGAATCTGAGTTCATAATAGCCTTGTAGTGATGGGATATAGTTCTATTATGAAGTTTGAGCTAGATATTTGCATATCCTTTTAACTCAACAAATGTTTACTTTATGCTTGTGCACCTTATGTGTAGCCAGGTGGCTTGGGGGAAACGGCATCCTTCATGTGAAAAAAAAACAGTGACGTGGAAATTTAGAGTCTTCAGTACCTGTTCTAGACTTTCCACTAACCAGTTTTGTCTCTTGAGCTCTTTTGGCCTTAGATCATTACGTAGTAAATAACCTGGGTTCAATAAACTGTCACAATGAACCACCCAAAATGATGTGTAATATATTATGTATATTAATATTGTGTATATCGCACATACAGGTATTTTCAAGAGATTCCAGCAGATTCACAAAGTAATTACAGCTCATAAATGTAGGATACATGACCCCTTTAAATTTTGCAATTCTCAAATTCTATATTTTATTTTAGTCAACATTATTGATGTATTTTCAGGAAGTAACTTTTTATGCCAAGCTTAGTGACCAAGCAAAGACGAAAATCTTAAAATGGCGAGTC